GAGAGCTGTAGTGCATACCTGTAGGCCATCGGGTGTTGTCTTCGGTAATCAAATCGATTCCATTGAAGAGATTGTCCGCAAACTCGTCGGTGTTGTCGGAGAGGGGGAACCGACCGCTCATTCCAGAGATTACTATATCATTGAATGACATTTTTATATCTATTTTTATAAATAGTAATACTATTGCAAAAACATATAATAATAGGCTTTTTAAACAATTAGAAGCGCACAAAAAATGATTAATTCTAACACCAGTGGTTGGCCCGGCTTATATAGTTTTGAGACCATGTTTTACCTACAATATTATTGGATAATATCAAACGTCATGTAAATAACATGTAAATTTACATGTATATAATCTATCACATTGGTGCTTTTGCAATTATTGTTAAAATATAATTATTAATATAACCGTACATGTCGTATTAATAATTATTTGACATATTTATTATTCACAATATCTGTAATTTATTGTATAATTAATTTTTTATCACATCTATCAGGAAAATAATAAAAATATAATTTTAAATGTTTAATAAAATAAGTCCATTAATTCTTAATGTTAATATCCCATAAATTGCCTTATTTTATCTTGGTTATGTAAATTATTCCATAATAATTATTTGTAAAACTTATTAATGCAATCGTATAAATTATAATTAAGGAAATATTAATTTTAATTTAATTAACGTTAGTAAGAATAGTAGCAATAATTATATGTTCTTATCTGACGATTAACTGATTATAACTTTTGACAAACATTTTTAGATTTAATTTTAAATTATATGTTTTATATTAATTTCTATGTAAAACAGCTTTTGTTGAAAGAGATTCAAATAAAGTTTGATTTGATTATAAAATTGAAGCAAATCTAGGCAAACAATTATGTGTTGAATCTATTCATCACAGTATATATATAATTATTTTATAAAACACGTAATGATATACTGATAACATTTTATTCACAAAACATTGAATTTATAAGTTACTTGTTAAGCAATTATACACCAATTCCGTCATCACTAATAAAATAAGCACGAGTAATCATTATAATAAAGTTACCTAATTCAATTTTATTAGAGTAATATATTTTTTAATTTCCCGAATAATTTAATTAGCAATTTTACTATTTTACGTAGGTCATATTGTAATGAATCGAGTTATTAAAATTAAATAAGATATCGACAGACAATCGTGATCATTTACAAAACTATTAAATGACACCAGTAACAATATTTTTATCATTCTATACTAAAATAGCAATAAATTTTTTAAATCAAACAACCATTTATTAAATCAAATTTTAGTTTGTTTAATAGTCGATACGTGTAATAGAGATTGAAATCTCAGTATAGATTTCGATAATCTTGACAAATCATTAGTCCAATAGCTATATATTATTAACCATTTGTAATAAGTTATAACTTATAAATGTTAAAATACAAATAAATTTTCTAACATATATTCAAAATACTTTTCAATAATATTTATAGTTTACAAATGAAATTTTATGATGAATTTACAAATACTAATATGTTTACTGTAATGTTAATATGGTAAAAATGGTGTGAATTAAAATTACCCCTTCAATCATTTGTACAATCAGTGATTTATGATAAAAAATAATTTAATAATAATAATATAATAAGTTATTATTACTAATTCGCAAGTACTTAAGTATCAAGGTACTATAATATCACTAATTAGAATAATCTACACTATTGCTGTTCAATCAAGTATAGCGGCTATACTTAGTGTAGCCACATGTCCAACTTAAATATCTCACTTGCATACTTGTATAAAGTTATATGTATAATTTTTCACAAAAACATTAAGATCACGTTTAAAAATATAGTTCTCAAATACGATTGAGTCAAATATTAATAAAATTGTTGATAATCGCAAATCAGACTATCAAAAATCTCAGTAAAATGAGTTTAAATAATTAAATTTTGTTTTAAATGACGTTTGTTTATAGACTGAAAGCCAACCACTATATAAATGGGCGATAAACTAATAAAATAACAGATTATCTCTCTAAACAGTAAATAATATGTAATTTTATATCAATAAATGAATTTTAAATAGATTTCAATGCAATTTATACGTTGTCAACTAATTTGTGTTTACAAGCAAATGCCCTGGAACCGTTTTAATGATAACATAAATGTTTGACTGTATTAGGTTACCATTCACGCGGTGTTTCTTGTTTAATACCGACCAAACTCAACTTTTTTACTGCCCGTTGCGCCACCTTTTTATGGCATACTGTGAATCTGTACCTGTGATATACTAAAAACACATTGGACAGGCTTATATTACACGAATTCAATATTTAATACAAAAACAGTGATTTTTGATAATGAATTAGTATTAATAATCTAACGTAGGTGAAAAGTCAATCGATGTATTACTTTTGTTTATGTTTATACAAAATATTAATCTCATTATTTTATACTTGTGGTGTTAATGTAACATGCGATATTATATGCAAAATATGAATTCAATATTTAATGTTTAAAAAAGTGATTTGATTTGTATTAACGTTAAGGCCAACCATTGAACAGATAATGAATACGGATTTTATCAGAGGATTGGCAGCAATTCATTTGTAATTTTTATTATAATTATTAAATTACTTTTATTAGAAAATTATACGTTTTAAAATTATTTAACTAATTATTGCTATTGCTAACTAACTATTTATTGCTACTAATAATTGTATGAACAGAATATTGTCGTAATAATTAATTATTTTATTTATTTTTTAAGTACTCTAATATAATGTAAATGAATTACAATTTTAAAATTACTACAAAAAAAAATAAATAATTTTATAAATAATGTTTACAAAAAGTAATAGAATACAGAATTTTGTAGAATATATTTTTAATTTTAAAAATTAGTAAAGTATTTATTCAATAGGGGTTTGCAATAATAATTTATTTTTCCAATTAATTGTATTTAAATTATATAATTTAATTGTTTATTAAGCGTTAGTTATGGACTCATAAGCAGAGACATCGATGAAAGGTTTGGGACGGAAATAGTGTCCGAATTGACTTTTAAATCCCGGTATGTTTTTAATTAATGTCGAGTTCTAGAAAACATTAACAATTATTATTATTAATAAACATAAAACTTATATAATGTTTATAATTATTTAATTAAATTATTAAATCACCGGTATTTCAGTCGGTGTCGGCATATCATCGGTGTTGACATCTTTCATATCCTTTTCATTGATTGGATTATCAGTTATTATACTGACAGTCAGTTTGCGGCGATTGGGAGAGTCGTGGGACAGATGTTTCTGTTTTATAAAACAATAATCTAATAAAATTGTTATAAAATTAAATAATGAATTAAATAATAAAACCTTTAAGAAATCAATGATATCTTGTTTTAAAAGCTCTTTAATAGCATTCACTTCAATCTCCTGTCGATTGAAATTATACTCTTTGGATATGACTTCAGCCCAAAGAGTACAGCATTTTTCCCATAAATTCTTTGGTTTCACGAGTTTTTCGGTAATCAATGCCTGTCTTTGAGTTTCAAAATCTGTTTCATTCATGTCTTCAATATATTTGTGAATCCATTGAATGTAAGCCTCGATTCTCTCGTTAAGAAAACTCGGCTTATAATCCGATTCAATAAGAAAACTCATGCCTAAAATTAAGTAAAAATATTACAATTTATGAATTAATGAATAATTTATGATATAAGTAAAATTTTGTGGACGAACCACAAACACCATTAGCCCATCCAATGTATGCGCTGACGACATAACCCAACTGTTGTTTAGTCCTGAAAGTATCATAAAATGATTGATCCAATATTTGCTGCAAAAGTTCCGCTATTACTTTAATTTTAGTGTCGTTAACACCGATTTGATAATAGGTTTGAATGCCATTTGTTTTATGGATTGAAGTCTTGGTCTCAAACACATAATCGGATCCTTCGGTCAAATGGATCTCACGATTCAAGAAGTGTTGCGAACGAGCGATGGGTTTAGTCTTGAGCTGAGACTTGAATTTGTGTTCAAATGCATCGCAAACATCGATGGCTTCACTCTTGAGTACATTTCCATAGATAAAGGCCTCGATATGAAAACGGGACACAAATTGATCCTTAAATTGGGAGACATTACTGACAGTCAAGTCATCGACAGTCTGTAACAGCTCTTCATCAGTCCAGACGCGAACAGCCGTTATATCATACATATAATCTGTCAGTATTTGTGCCATTTGATTAGCATGGCGATTTTTCAGATCACGTACGTATATATCTTTAAACACATCAAATCTTTTGGCATCAATTTTAAATGCAATCAATTGATCCAAAATAGTGGTCAATAAAGTATTTAGTTTATCGTTATATCCGCCAAAATATATCTGTAAATAATTTATTTAATTTATTAAATTATTGTTTAGTTTAATGTCTTTCTAACCGTAATGCCAGTCAGAACTGGACTTATTCTCAACCAAAGTCCAGCCATTTCTGCCGCATATAAGTACTCATTGACTAAATCCCGAAATAATTGGCTGAAGAGTTCCGAAGCGTTTTCATTGAATGGATTGTCGGATACGAATGGACTATAAATATATTATATTAGTTTTTAAATAATTATAAATATTATTTATATAAATACTTTGTCAATTTGAAGGCATAATAAGATTTAGGTTTTCTATATTCAATGTCCTGTAAATACCAAATGCGAGAAAACTCAGTGTTTCTAATCATTTGAGGCACTGTTTGATTGTTGTCTTCAATTGGTTTGACGTTTAGATTATAGGGAATGAAGTCATTGGGCGGCGGAAGTGCTAACCGATCGTTGAGTCCTATGTTTAGCCACAACTGAATCTTCTCGGGAGGAATGTCTTGAAATGAGTATTTGGTTCCATACCATCGCTCCGTTCGATTGGCGATTGACTCAAACTGTTTGCCCACAACTGCCACTCGCATCCGATCGGCACTCAATTCATTGAGCAATTGTGAGATTAGTTCTGGTCTGTACTCATCCATCAGATAAGACACACGCAATACCTCTTCATATGAGTATAACTTTTAAATCAAATAATAAACAAAATAATAATTTAAAGAATATAACTTTACAGTAGATTTTCAATACCAATAAAGTGTTGACCAAACTTAGCACATAATCCATTGGTTGTAATCTATCTTTAGACTGGAAATCAATTTCTAGCATTTGTTTGATTTCATCGCAAATCCAATGTTTGATTCCTTCACTCTATTAACAAAAATATGATAAATCTATTATAACCTATGTAATTCTGCACAGATTAACACTTTATGTATATTACTTTGAGCATGGTGATATACTGAAATATCAACGCAATGATATCGTCCGTATGGTTCATACCATCTTCAGTTAAATCTACATTTATATTAAAAAAGTCAAACCCAAGGCTACGGCCACCAATGTTACCGGCGGACAAACAGGTGCACCAATTCATGGCCTTCAGCTCCGATAGCAAACTGCCCCGACCTTCGTGTTCGATGAGGTGCTCTAAATACATGTATGGCTTTGACCTGAGGTTTAAGTTATAATTTTTATTACATGTTACAAAGTGCATTTATTATAGTCTTCATTACTGTATATTAATTAAGTTTTATTTCTCCATTAATTATAAGCAATGGCATTGTAATCCTGTACCTGTAATGTTCTGCCATATCTGTTATGGGAAACGTTAGGGTAAGTGTGCGGACATCCATAACGGGAACCACAAAACACTGTTTCCGCAGCCAATCGGCGGTCAATGGGTTTGTCTGCCATTTGGGAAGAGTTACTCCACTCTTGTGTTCAATCACTGAAAACAACGGAATCACTATTTCTTCCAATGAATTAATGCTTTCTGTAATATAAAACAAATGTTATAATAAATAATTATTTTCCTATCATTTAATGCAAACCTTTGCCCAAAACAACTAAAGACATGATATTTGCTGAATACCAGCGATTGTGAAATGATAGCAACTCTTGTCTAACATTAATTCCCTTTTCCTCTGGAATCGCTTTAAGTGATTCTATATTACCTATTAATACAAACATTAAAAATTATTTAAACAATAAAACTTTTGATCAAAATATTGCCGTAAAATACCAATTGAAAACTTATTGTAGTCGTGATTGGGATCCGATAGTGTCTTCTCTAAGTGATTGGTAGCCCACATGTCAGATGACAGACCCCTCTCGTACTCCGATTGGACGGCATTTATCTCCCGATCGGTCGCACTCTCTGTGAAAAGTGGCTCAACGAAGAACTGAGAGAATCTATTCATTCAATTAGATATTACCATAAGTTTTATATTACATTATTTAACATGTGATCCACAACTGATGCATACCTATCGAGAGCTCCGGGCAGATAATCGGTAGATATATCAAAGACATACGTGGTATTAGTGCCGGCAGTGAATGCGTTACAATAGCCACCATTACTAGTGATATACTTGTGGTAATCGTCGTCATCGGGGTATTTCTTGGTGCCCAAGAAGAGCATGTGCTCTGCAAAGTGAGCCAATCCCTGGACATCGCGGGGATCACTCATAGAGCCGACGCCTGTCGTGAGAGCGGCCGCACTCTTATCGGTCTTTCTATCGCTAATAAGCAATACTTTCAGACCATTTGTTAATACGATTGCCTTATAATCGCGTTTATCATCGTTTGGCTTAACTATACTCTCATAGCTTTTGACGATTAAATCGTTGGTCACATTCAAAACATTCATTATTTTGATTTTATCAAATTAATATGATTGACACATTTCCATGACTGCAATTATATTTGAATTAATAATGTGTTACAATAAAACTTAAGGAATTATTTAATCATAATAATAAACTTAATAATTTTTGGGTAGACTTTGCACGTATATAATAAATTTAATTGATGAGTGTATGTAAATAAAATTCATATTCTTTGTCACCATTCTGAAATTAGATATTTTTTGGTGAACGAAAATTAATAACAAATGAATAATGTTTTATCACAACATAAATAATACAACAAAAGAAATATTTAAAAACTGTATTAATCTTAAGAACTGGATTAACCATGATGTATTAACATTTGTGGAATTACAATACAATAAGTATAACTAAAATTAAATATATTTGTTTATAACAATTTCTCTGTGATTCACGAGATTTATTTAGGATTTTGGCTAAACTCCAGGATTTGAGACAATTTATTTCTGGCAACACTAGACGTAGGGTTAGTATTATATAAGCGATTATTTAGTCATTTAGCAGTTCATTACACATACTGTATGTGACATACAGTACTTCAATGCAGTACTTCAGTGTATTTACATTTATTCACAATATTAAAACATTGACAACAAATATAATTCTTGTGAATTGTAATTACATATAATTGCATAAAGATTATTGTCGTAATAATTAATTATTTTATTTATTAAAAATTACTTTAGTAGTACTAAATTAGTACAATGCAATTCATTACAATATTTAAAACGTTTAAAATTACTACAAAAAACATTAAAGTAAATAAATAATGTTTACAAGAATATTGATGTTTAATATTGAGAATTATGAAAGCATTCAGTCGATAGGTTTGCAGTAATTATAATAAATAATATTTAAATCGTATAATTGTATTGTTTATTGAGTTTTATTCGTGGACTCAAAAGCAAACACATCGATAAGAGGTTTGGGACGGGAATAGTATCCGAATTGGGTCTTAAATCCCGGTATGTTTTTAATTCGCGTCGATTCCTTAATAATGATCAATAAAAACAATTATAAGTGAATGTAAATTATGATATTTTGCTTGTAATTATTTAATTTAATTATAAATTCACCGGTATTTCAGTCGGTGCGGGCATATCATCGGTGTTGACATCTTTCACATCCTTTTCATTAATTGGGGTTTCAGTGGCTATACTGACAGTCAGTTTGCGGCGATCGGGAGAGGCTTTGGACAGATGTTTCTGTTTTAACAAAATATATTATTTAATAAAATATTAATAAAACTAAATAATCAATTGAAACCTTCAAGAAGTCAACGATATCTTGCTTTGAGAGCTCTCTAATAGCATTCACTTCAATCTCTTGTCGATTGAAATTATACTCTTTGGACATGACTTCAGCCCAAAGAGTACAGCATTTTTCCCATAAATTCTTTGGTTTCACGAGTTTTCTGGCAATCAATGCCTGTCTTTGAGTCTCGAAATCAGTTTCACTCATATCTTCAATATATTTGGTAAACCATTGAATGTAAGCCTCGATTCTCTCGTTTAGAAAACTCGTCTTATAATCGGATTCAATGAGAAAACTCATGCCTAAAGTTAAACAAATTAAACTATTATTTATAAATCAAATACAACTAAAATTAAAATTAAAACACTTTATACGGACCGCAAACACCATTAGCCACTCTTGTGGTAGCGCTGACGACATAACCCAACTGTTGTTTAGTTCTCAATGTATCAAAAAATGGTTGTTTCAGTATTTGTTGCAAAAGTCCTACCAATCCATTAGTCTTCGTATCTCTGACTCCGATTTGATAATAGATTTTAATTCCATTTGTTTTATGGATTGAAGTCTTGCTCTCAAACACATAATCGGATCCTTCAGTCAAATGGATCTCACGATTCAAGAAGTGCTGCGAAAGAGCGATGGGTTTAGTCTTGAGCTGAGACTTGAATTTGTGTTCAACTGAATCGCAAATATCGATGGCCTCACTCTTGAGTACATTTCCATAGATAAAGGCCTCGATATGAAAACGGGACAGAAATTGATCCCTAAATTGAGTGATATTAGCGACAGTCAAGTCATCGACGGTCTGTAACAGCTCTTCATCGGTCCAAATGCGTTCAGTAGTAATCTCTGTCATATTGGTTGACAGTATTTGTGCCATTTGATTAGCATGGCGATTTTTCAGATCACGTACGTATATATCCTTAAATACTTCAAACCTTTTGGCATCAATTTTGAATGCAATCAATTGATCCAAAATAGTGGTCACCAAAGCATTCAGTTTGTCGTTATATCCGCCAAAATATATCTGTAAATAATTTATTTGATTAATATTTTAATTAATGTTTAATTCAATCGCTTTCTTACAGTAATGCCTGTGAGACCTGAGCTCATGCTAAACCAAAGCCCAGCCATTTCTGCCGCATATAAGTACTCATTGACTGAATCCCGGAATAATTGGCTGAAGAGTTCCGAAGCGTTTTCATTGAATGGATTATCAGATACGATGGGACTATAAATACAGTAATAAAGTTATATTAATTACAATATATTTATAATTATAATTAAAAAGCAATACTTTGTTAATTTGAACGCATAATAGGCTTTAGGTTTTCTGTATTCAAAGTCCTGTAAATACCAAACGCGAGAAAACTCGTTGTTTCT